CACATTGCAAAACATCTTCATGTGACCTCCCTTTTGATTCCCCTTTACCCTTCTCTTCTGCTGTTTGTGTCTGTCTCCTTTTCTTCTCCCCATTTCCCTCTCCCTGTCTTTTATTTTACTGTTTACCCATCCTTTCCCTCTCCCGTTCTCTTCCTATCTGGTCTTACTAATCCATTTTCCTTGTTACTCCAACTGTGCCTACATCTTCCACCACTAATCTCCTATATCCCCATTTTACTTTCTTGCCTTTGCCCCTTTCTCTCTCCCTTATCTCCCCAATTTCTCTCTGTACCTTTCTTTCTAGGTCAGTTCGTCATATATGTATATACCGCTTCACTTTTACTTTCCCTTCCCTCTCACAACTTCCTTCTTATTTTCCCTTTTTAGTTCCGCGACTATTACTTTATTTTCTCCCCTCTTTTACGTTCGCATCTACTTGTAGTTTCTCTTTTAGCCATTCCGCCATTTTATCTCCCTTTTTGTATCTCTACTACCTTTATCGTCATGTTGTTCTTATTTTTAATATTTCCTTTCTCTCTTTCTTCTTCGAGTTTTTTTTTATACTTTCTATACATTTTTATTTTTCCTTGTCCCATTGCTTTATCCTTCTCTTCATTTCCTCCCTTAATCCTCTCATTTTCTTCGCTCTCTTTCATTTTTTGCCACACAGGGACCCGTGTGTTAGTCGATATGCTTTCCTTTTTTATTGGGGAACGAAATTATTTCTCCTCGTCGAAGTTTGTCTAGTCCCATATAATTATTACTTATGATTGATTATTAGCCCTCCTTGTTATAAGTAAGCCCCGTGGCCTTGACTTTGCCAGTTTTACTTTGCCCCTGTTTACTAAATATACTCGTATAATATTGACATATTTTCCTATGAATTATTGATGAGTGGTTGCGGAAGTTTCATATTTTTCCAGTTGTATAGGTATATTGATATTTACCCTAGAATAATTGATGTGGTTTTAAGTGTTTTTTTTTTCTATTTGTACTATATTGACATTTTTGTCTTGGATTCACTACGAAGTAGTTAGTTGCTAAGTTCATTTAGAAATACCGAAGAAAGTGTTTCCGATATATAAGCATTGGAGAATGGTTATGTGAATGGCGTGTGGAGTATGACGAGGTGTTCCTGAGAGCAAATTAATTTTATTTTGCCAACGCCTAGCTCAGTAATAAAATAGTGCGTAAGTTGGTGATTCCGAAACGAAAGCAGGATACCTGCTTGAGGTTCGGAATCACCTTTGCGCACATGTTAGGAACAACGGATTTCCTACAATCGTTTCAGAATTAATCAAATCGCGTGCGGAAAGTGATCAATTCCGGCACTAGTGCGGGAATGTCAATAGATTGTGGGAAAATGTTTTCTATACCCCTTACCTTGTGGTAGTTTGGTCCCTTATCTCCTCTTAAAATTTGAAATTTAAAATGCTCTGGATTAATTAAAGTCTAATAAATACGCATATGACTGTATAGACCGGTAGGTAACGTACATCTTAACTAATCCATAAGCGACAAAATATTCAAAAATACAGGCTGAAAGTACGTTGAAAACTAGTAAAAAAATCGCCAGTCTACCAGTCGTAAGTGGCAGCATTAACTTGGAGGCGGCGCTGAAACAGTGACGATTTTGGACGTCAACTAAGAGACACCGAAAAAATTGATATCAAGAAATGCCATTTCTCATATTATAGTTTCAAGTGCAGCTTTGGGGCCTTTCCGTTAGGGATCCGTCACGAGCCCCTCGGGTTTGAGGGACGGGCAATCTGAGTTCAGCCATTACTCCCTGTCCGTGAGAGTGACCTTATAACTCTTCGACCTTAGTAAGACAGTCCGGATAACATCCCTTCTTGCGAGGCGGAGATCGCATCTGAGGGTTTCCTCCCAAAGGCTACTTCGATCTTTCGTCCATCAAGGTCTGCTCTCCTTCTATTCGTAAATGGAAGTCGATCGGCCTTACAGAGAGTCGGAGAGCTCCTTTTGTTGGGACCGAGGTTGCGTAGTCCCCAGAGCCTGGAAGGGGTGTTTCCAAGAGACATGTAGTGGTTTCCCCACGGTAGACGTATATCTGCTATATGGAAGGCTCTGTGTCCCCACTTTTTGCCCCCGGTCTTTCGAAAAGATCTTCCGAAGATCTTGAACTTCAGGAAGACGTTCTATGCTACCACAGAAGGTCCGCTATGATCCTCGTTTGGACTTTCGAATATGATCTTTATACCTGCGCTGAGCGATCTTGAGATCCTCCTAGTCCGTAGGCAAGCTTCGAACTACTTGCATAACCCTATTAAAGAGCTCGTCGCAACGGAACTGGGTCCCACTGCTCCTTTACCTGGCGCACCTGAAGCACTCGTTCTGCCGCTGGAGTGCCCGAACGATTCCTTATCGACACCAAATGCGAGGAGGACCCTACCAAACTTCTCCCTGCGGAACATCAGCCCTCAAACACGGTATTTGCCTCTGGAGGCGCTTCAAGATGGTCACCGTGTCATCCGGAACCTTGGTTACTCAAGGGACTTTCAGAGACCCGCCATCCCCCTCCATTCAATGCAGTCATAATTCACTTCGACTGAGGCTCAGTGATGTCCACCTCCGGGTGTGACCGTGTGACACCGGAACAGTGGCTACCCTGAACCCCGGCCGCTACGGCTACTTGCCCATAGGTTTGTGGTGCACCCGCAATTCTGATGCTCCATAACCTGTAGACTTCTTCTCAGGCTGCCCTGGATTGCTTTCCTCCGATCTGAGATGCTTGGTTCCAGACGTCGCATTGACTCACCTGAGCCAAGACACAATCTCAGGCTTTGGCGCAGGGCCCGCTTGACCCGAGGTACTACTCTCGAGCCGGCGCTTCTTGGCCATCGTTCTTTTTGTTCTTTTTGCGAATAGCAGCTGGTCCACTACCAGATCCTTGAATAAGGCCCTGAGTTGAAACCGTCCCCTCGAAGAGCCTACCCTACCCAGTTACCGGGACCCTCTTAAGGGCCCAGCTTGTTATGTTATATAAACACTGAAATTTTATGTCACAATACGATTTCGGGTAAAATTTAATACAAAACTCGTCAGTAAAATGTTATTACTTGACTCGGAAATTAAAGTACTCGGCCCCAAAGAGGCCTTGTACTTCGATATTTATATTAATAACTTTCTTATTTATGGAGATATTTGTTGAAATTTTCACCATAGATGCTTTTAGTAAAAAAAACGTAGCTACTTATAGCTTTTTGGGAAATACTGATAAACGCAGGGAAAATGTGCTAAAGTTACTCGCCTTAAGGTGAAAACCTTTTCACTTATTTTATTTCTATTTGAATGAAATAGCCCAAAACCTCAAAAACTCAAACAGCAAAAAAGCGAAATTCCATTATCCTGTTGTCGTACACGGTATAAATTATTTTGAGGGTGCTCGCCCTTGAGCAATCCTAGGCTCCATTAAGTCGCCGCCCCAGCATTACATAAAAGTATCCCCTCGTGACGATATTCAACATAATATTCCTTAAAGATTTTCTGTACTTCCTAGATGAGACCGGTAAGTAATGACTAGTGGCGTAACTTCATTTTAGAGGCCCTTCTTCAATAATATTTGAGGTCCCTTTCCTTATGTCAGTAATTTTTAAACGATGTTAATCTGTATTATGTAAAAAATAGTGTCTTTGCTGATTTTGCATTTTGTAATTCATTGGTTCAGTCAAGGTCCAGTTGATTTTGTGCGAACTTCAATTGTCAAGCTTTGTGTAATATTTGTGCCATAAAAAATGTAATAATGTACTTAATTTTAATTGTAACTCTTCAGCTATTTGTAACTAGGGGTAGGTAACCCTTGAATTTGTTTGTTATTTAATTGTTTCACTTTAAATGTTATCTTTATTTTGATTTGTTTAATATTCGCAAGTTCCTTCGATGTTTAACCTCGTTTAGTTTGTTTAGCGACTTCAATTTGTTTAACGTATTTAACTGTTTCGTCCATGCAGAGGTAAATGCAGGAGTGTTAAAATTACTTAGCGGCATTCATCTCGAAATACGTCTTCAGGCTAAGGTTACCGTATCCAGAACCTCCAGATACCTTCTGGATTGGAGAACGTCCCGCTGATTAACAAAGTATCAATTACTTTATGTAAGAGACTTCGGAATGTTATTTTTCACAAATGGCAAAGGAGTGGAGTTGCTTTTAAATCTATTTGAGTTGGCTACTTTTGAACATATCAAATTTTGTATTAGATTAAAGTTAGATTTAAATTGTTCAAATTCCTCGGATTGTTAATTTTTGTATATTGCAGATATTGCTCCAAATTTTTCACCCATGTTTACCCTCCGTGAATAATGATTCAGAATTTTCTACGGATTATAATTATTGTGAACTGTAAAAAAAGCAGGTGCATTTACATTACACTTTTTTACGTTTTATCTCTTCCTTTAGTAACGGAAAATATGTAAATAATTAATAGAAGCAAAACATTGAAGGAGTCCGGGAAATTTTCAGAATTTTGTATAAACCAATTACATTTTTTGTACATTTTTGCCGGGGCCCCTTTTAAGTCGGGGCCCATCTTCATTGCGCACCTTTGAAGCATTGTAGTTACACCACTGGTATTGACTGATAATACCATAGTGTAAATAACACTATGATAAATACTTGAGTTCCCACAACTGCAACTTAAGTTGCCTACCCTATAGGTCTTTAGAAGTGATTTTTTGCTGAAAATATTATTTTGAAAATAGGCGTTGGCTGGTGGCATAAATTTGTGTACCTAAGCGTAGGGGGTAGGAAATGAGGAAAAATCCTTCAACAAAATGATGCGTAATACGGGAAGCTCCACTAATTTTGAAATTAATCGACGAAGAAGATGCAGAAGGTTAGTATAAAAACAAAGTGCTGCACGTACGGTCTATCAAATAAACGGTTTGTCTTCAACATACGTAATTAATTGATTATTTCGGTAATTAACCCGGATGTGGAATGTGCAAGCAGTGGCGTGCATAAACGCAGGTTATATTGGCGTTTATACAAACTAATTGCCTAAGCGCCAATAGAAATCTAGTCTTGTTTACCGACTGCGAACCTTGATTTTAACAATTTCGCAAACAGTGTAAAAAACTCCGATTAGAAATGAAACTATTTTCGTCGTGGAAAGTAGTTTTGAGAACCGACGCGTTGTAGGTAGTAAGTAGTAGCCCGCATTAGAAAAAAAGTAAATGACGTAATTCCACTTATGAGGTCGTCTCCTGCTCTGCAAGGTGATTAAGGGTACTCCGAAGATCATTTTGAGATATTCGCGCGTCGTGGGGATTGCACGCAAGTACGTGACACTTTTTATCGGTAATATCCTCATATATGCGTGACCTCTTCTCTTCTGTATTGTGAAAGGGCAATGACCACGCCCGTTGTGGTAACATCAAATTTAATTCCAACGGGATATTACATACCATCACACGCCCTCTTAATGATACGTAAACATGAAGTGCCAGTGAATTTTATCTGGCTATCAAGTGGCGTTAGAGTAAATTAAAGTAATTATTTTATTTGGGGTCGGAACGTTTTAAGGGATGGATTTGTAAAATAAACAAATTGTATCGAGTTTTGGGCGTCCGGAGATAATTAGCGAGGGTTGCATTCCAAAGAAAACTCAAAAATTGCAAAATACACGTCTATTTAGAATAGTCAGGGGAAAGTTTTAGTTTTAGCTTTTATCCCCCACGCTCAGTCACGCGCACATAAAATTATTATTCATCCCCATTGACAGATAGATCATTTTGAAGGCCATAAAATTCTCTATAGAAACAAATACCCACATCAAATTTATATTTTGGGAAACAAAGACAAATGCAAATTAAATGAATTTTATTAAATCCCCAAAATGGTCGCCTCTAGTACATATTTAGTCAATCATAAAGTCTGTGTAGAAATTCCTGGCGGGCGTTAACAAAGGTCTTTGTTGTAATTCCTCTATGTTCATGTTTTATCCTGTGTCTTGTACACTACATTTCTCAAGCGTCCCCAAATAACGAAATCAAGCGGAGTCAAGTGGGGGAGGTCCATTCTATTGCATCCCCTTCGTTAAAAAAAACTCAAATTTCTTTATGTTGATGTTTTGCACTTGAACTTGTACTGTCCTTATTGTTTGATGTATATTTTAAACGTAAAAGTATATCAATGACAAAATAATTTCTAAAAAACTCATGCCTCGTATACGATAAAATTAAACTCAAAAATTTTTGCTAGTTCTGAAACGTATTTCAAATATCTTTCAAAAAACTAAAACTTGAAAATTGTATTTATGAGAAACATGAAAATTGTATTTATGAGAAACATGAAAAAAAATGAGACGCATTTCGTACTAATAACTAAAATGATACTTAGTTTATTATTATAGTTTCAATTCAAATTTCACATTCTTTTGGGGCTCACACAGATTGGGTAATATGTTTTATTTATTATACATTGACGAGCCATCGGAAGATGCGAGTATTATACTTAGTTCCATTTTGTGCATGGCTTAGTTTTTCTTCTTTACATCATTGCAATCAATTTGAACGGAACACAGCGATTTTTGTTGGCAGCAAGGACACTGATTGCCGTTTTTCCATAAAAATTAAAAAAATACGCTATTGTAGACACTTTGTCCGACCGTCTGTCCGTCCGTCTGTGCGTCCTGACGGCTGTGTCGCTACTAGATCTTTAGCTTAAGAGATATTTTTATACTTTTTTCGCTGTTTGGTTCATTATTCATTATTTTCTGCATTTATTACTAAAAAAAATTATAGTAAAAAGGCAATGTGCCTACCATAATTTTACACTTGCCGTTTATTATGCTTATAAGTTCAATACGCTAAGATGCTTATTACAAAATCAAACTGGAATGACGTGCCAAAGAATAGGGTTGGAGGCGGATTTTTCAATATCCCGTTTCTGATTTTACAAAATATTTCCAAAATTCCTATCTAAACGGGGGTAATTTGAAAAAAGTATATAGACGCATTTTGTGGTCGAAATTACGAAAATATTTGAACATAGGTAAACAGTAGTTGCGTATGCGCAATTCAAATCTAGTCCAAAAGAAGTTTCTTTACCGCATTTAAATAAAAAACGGGCTATTGTGGCCATTTCGTCCGTCCGTCCATTCTTATGGCTGTGTCACTATCAGATCTTGATCTTAAAAACTATTGCCCTACTTTTTTCTTTATTTGGTTGGTTTTGGTCTCGAGGCTTGCATCAAAGAGAGGAACTTTTTCTGTGCTCCTTACAAAAAAAAGTCAATTAAATCAGTTCTTCCTTGGGTGATTATAAACAATATTGAAAACAGAATTGGAAAATTCGAAACAGTTCGCGAGTTACCATGTACACAAAAAGGAAGAACTGATTAAATTTTCTGTGACCCAGGAGTTCTTTTGCCATATTTTTTACAAGTTTATTTATTATGTGCACGTGCTTAACATCAATGGCGCATGCGCTGACTCAACTTTCTTGTTTAATGGACCAATTTTTCTGAAATTTTTAAAAGTCCCAAAATTGCATTTACTTGTGTTGACGGTAAAGTTGTTTTGTGTTAGACGAAAAACAGTACGTTCTTCCCACACAAGAAAATAGAAATCACGTCTAAAAATTGCGTATGTGCAGCCTCAACTTTGTCATTAAGTGGAACACTTTTTCTGAAATTTGATGAATATGCTTCTTACAAAAGTAAATTAAAAACGCAAAAAATGAGTTGTGTAGGTGCGCAGCCAACTTTCTTAGTTGCAGGGGGACTTTTCCAAAATTTTCTACAAAGTGATTATGGTTGAATAACTAAAAACGGATTTGAGCGTGGTAACTATATTTCTTTCGGAAAATACCAAAACAGACTTTTAATGTGGAAATGCGCTTTTTCTGAATCCTTTACGATTACAGCAGTTTCCGCACTTTTCGCACAAATATTCTCAAGCAAATGCCTAAGTTGCGAAATACCTACATTAATTAATCGATTCAACTTCTTGAAATGTAACTAGGTAAGTATATTACATCGGCCGTGAAAGCATCGCAATAACATTTTACGTCTTTGTTGTTCAACTGCGTTTAGAAAATCACGCTTCTAATTGTATTGTGAAGAAATACTTTCTATTTTCTGTTAGTATTCGGCTGTCTACAGACGCGTTAACTCTTTGCTTTTTCTTCTTTGTAAAATTTGAAATGCATAATTTGTCATTTTTAAAATAGCTTGGGCGAGCTCTACCGCTCCCTTTCACGCGGATTATTTAACTTATTTTTTTAATTTTTATTTTACCTTTATTTTTAAGTGGGCGGGGTTTCAGCCGAGGCTGCTCTACCAACCCAACCCACTATACATTTACAAATATCCATGCCCGAACCCGGATTCGAACCAGGGACCCTGTACCGCAGTCGAGCTTCCACTGAACTGCGCTACATGGGCCGGCATTTATATCATGTGTAATCAACGGTTTCACCCAACTATTCAATACCTATACTTTTATTAGATATAGAATTTTTCTGCGTGAAAAAAACCGACGCATTTTGTTCTAATAACTAAAATCTTGGTTTACTAATTTTTTTCACAAAAAAATAAAACTAAATCCAAATATTCGCAAAAATTTTGCGAATTCAACTGATTCGATTCCCACTTAGCATTTTTTCTACTGAATTTGGAGCAAAAGTGCTGTAAAAAGGTACCGCCAGGCTACTTATCTCTCTCATTGCACAATGCACCTCACAAAATACACGAGCATATGAAATCCTCCCAGTATCATTAAAACTTGGTCAAAGAAGTGTTGGAGTTCTGAGTGAAGTGTATGTATAACGTGTCGTTATCACTGAGCGGTGAATCTACGAAGGGAAGGGGGTATAATTGCAGTTCTATCAGAATTAATCTACTCGCAGACCAACATCATAAAACCCTGAATGTCTCGGGTGCACGTCTTTAGAAGCATTTTCCTCACGCCCACAACGTACGGGTGGCTTGGTACGAGTGCATGGTCAAAATTCCTGAACAATGACCTTCTTCAACCCCTTTTGTGGTACGCGATCCTAAAGCTGCAGATCGAGAACACAAAACTTTCCCACTTATAAAGTAGGAGCAGATTTCAGTCGCGTTGGTGTTACGCATTTGATGCCACCCAATCTATGAAAAGTATCAAGTCCATCAGAGCAGCGACAAGCTAGCCACTAAATTCCTTGGCCCAAATTTTCTGAGAATGAAGTGAGCAATGTTTAAGAGAGCTAAAGAAAGGGAGGATCGTGGACGAACGATCGAAATAATGGAACAGATTCTTTCTCATGATTTCCTCTTCGGCACTCCTTTTCTTCGGAGTCAGAGCCTCTAGGAAAGCCTGTAGTGCGGTATGCCCTTTTTTGGTCTATCCGTAGGAAAAACTTCTCCAACAGTCGAAAATATTAGGTACATCTTTCTCTCTCACAATCTTTTGTTCTCTTTTTTTTTCGCGATCTATTATAGAAAAAAAAACGCGCGCTCGAGGGTTCGAACCCGCGTCATCATAATCGAAAGGCGACCATATTTTCTTTGAAGTAGACAAATGCGCTTTAAACAATTGTGAGCCAGGTGAGAGGGTCGATTTTGCCTTCGGCTGCCTAGTTTTACGCGTGACGACGACGGGATATGGAAGGGTACTCCATATTCTGTGGCGCTATGTGTTTCAAAAATACGACATACTATCAAGCAAAAAAATGCAAACGCCATCGGGTGCATAAGTTCACATTTAAGTACAAGATTCCTTCATAGTCCTTGATGCAGCTTTTAGTAAGTACCTTTGGTCTACTATCAATCGTGCAATCGTCAACTTTGTTAAAAATAGAATGTTTCTAATAAGGAAACAACTTCTAAAACAAAACAAAAAAACGACAAAATATTAGGAATATTCTTAGGATTATCCTCTTGGTCAAATTTTAAGAAAGTGTTTGTGACATTTCAGTTCCATTTTCTAAAAGCCAAAAAAATTTGTTGTTGTTATCCGTTCGTCATTGGAGGGAAGAAATTAGAGGAATAAAAAAAGGTGAAAAATTTGTCGCTCCCACTTCAAAAATTGACGTAAAACGCTAAATTTGACATCTTCGATATCTAGCTCCTCCAAGGATCAAAGGCTCCTCAAGGCTTACATTTTGATAGTCTGTTAATTATGACCATAAGAAAAATGCATTGGGGCATTTCTTTTTCTAATTTTTTTGATTTTTACAGTACTCAATGTCATTTCATTTGAACGTTATAGAAAATCCCCTTCCTTTGTATTAAAGTGCTTGTTTCTCCACCTAGGAACACTAAAATAAGTTCAAGCATTTGTTCTTGTTCACTATTATATTTTAAAAAATGTTCAAATTGGTGAGGTGACTAAAAGAAGCATTTTTTTCTCAAGTAAACTGCAGATAATAAAATAGATTTTTTGAAATTTCATGGATACAGTTTCAAAGCATTTTTTGAGAATACTTGAACCTATCCAAAAATGTAGGTACATAGTTTCATCTGTTATGGTTGCCAAGAGAAAAAATTAGAGAAGAAACACAAATTTTGGGACTTTATTTATCGTCTAATTTTTTATTACCCCCTCCCCCTCCACCTTCCATTGTTTTTCACATGCTCAATTGTTACATCCTGTATAATAAAATCACTAACAAAAACCATAGTAGTTATGAGTAACTTTACGTGATTACGTGTTTGATTATTTTCAGATGCCCGTCCCAAGTTAGATGAACTTGAAAAGATCATCTTCGGCGGTTAATCGATGAGTCATTCCGTATCAATCTACATCATATCCTCGACAGTCCATTATCACAGCGATAAAAAAAACCTTTATCGGTTAGTAGCACTGGGAACCTACAACCGCTGTCAATAAAATACCACCAACTGAAATAATGACGAGAAAGTATACGTGTACTACTTTAATGGTCATTCTGCTATTGATTCACGCAAGGACATGTAAGTGTGTTTTATATTATTTTTATGTTATGACGTATGCAGCACTTCACTGTTAGAATCTAAATTACGATAAAATGACCACAGGCGCGTCCGCTGCCCATGTATTTTTTCGCCACTTGTAGCTTGATTAAAATCTGTATAGGGAACTCGAGCCGTTCTCTTGTGTATTTCAATTTTTGATAAAGGAAGGGTAATTAATTCTCTTTCGTCCTTTTTTAAAATTTCCGTAGTTTTACAGGAAAACGCAATAAACACCCTTGTCCAGTAATGTGTTGCTATTGGAAACACTTTACAGGACACTTTACACAAAATTAGTCATTGAAATAACACTTACTCAAATTTCGCATTTCTTTTATTCAAAACGGAAAGCACCTGTAATAATTAACAATTAACAACTTGAATTATTTGCTTATAGGTCTATATCGTTTAATTAAATTGAATTATAAAAAAACTCCTACACCATCAACTTGATAAGCAACCAAAAAATGTACGTCGAACACCGTCTCCATTCCCAGCCAAAGATCATCCTTGGCCAACCACATCCTAAGTTCTGGACATTCGTTTTCGAACTTAGAGACCCGTCATAAAGGCCTCAAATTGGACTTTTTGAGAATGCAACTTCCCTATGACCCTAGACCGTATGAATCATTAATTTAATTTACCCAAAACCGCCATGAAACCTTCATGTTCATGCCCACTTTATATCAGAAGCAGAACAGACTATTTTTCCTGCCGCCTGACCCTTTACCGGCCGCATCTGTCATATTACCGGTCGCGCCTACCACTTTTCCGGCCGCACAAGTGTCTATAATGATTTCGGGTAAAATGTAATACAAAACTCCTCAGTAAAATGACATTACTTGACTCGCATATTAAAGTGCTCGGTCTCAAAGGGGCCTCGTACTTCAATATTTCCTCGCCACAGTACTGTGACATTTTTCTGACTGATGTACTATTAACATTTTTGCAAATTTATTCCCCGTAAAAATGTTGTGCAAATGTATGAGATCACCGCTAAATTGTAAAGCGTAATACAACCTGTTTCATTCAAAAATCGTTACAAAACCGCCTGATGATGGTGCAACAAAGGTTTCTCTTTTTGATGTCATCCTGGCAATTTATTGTTGTTTTTCTAGGAGTTTTTAATATAATGTTGTGTAAACTACGAAATTCGGGCGTTTTATTAGGCTTCGGCAGCTGCAATAGTGATGGGACACCCTGTATGTACGTTTTAATTTTTATTTTAACGTTGAATGTGGTTGTGTTTTGGAAATTGAGCGCACTGTCGATCATGCCATGTGATTGTTTGTATCAAAATTGTTGATGATGATTGTGTAAGCCCACCATTAGGGTTTTAAACGCTAATTAATCGCCTTTAAACTTTTTACTGGTTGCCGTTTAATCCAGAATCTTATTATCCACCTTATAAACAAAATAGGCCGACAAATTTGGTTAATAAACTTGTTTTCTATTGTAATTTACCACTCCAAGTATAAAAGCAATGAACGTTCTGTACCTTGGACCATAACGCTTTCGTGGTAAAACCGTGGGACCATCACACTGATCCAATAATGCCACAAAACGAAAATGTTCACTCACATAAGTACTCTATCTTATATTACCTTTACTCGTGATGGCGACACGCAATGACTTTAAAAGCACACGTATGATTACGCGGTGTTAAAAACTTCCCTATACTTCAACTATACTAATTCGTTTGTGTTTCGCAATCTAAAATTCCGCGTTCAACTTACATAAATTCGCCTTCAAAGATTTGCAAAGAATCTAATATGCAAACGAATTACATAGGTTCGTCTTGAAAGTTCGGCGAGGAATCCCTCTCTCCCACCTAATTTTTTCAATAATAGTCGCCAAGCTTAAAAACCGAAACGGACCCGACGCAAACCAAACTTCAACCACGTTTTTTATATATGTAAGGTCTAGCAGACATTCCGTCCCCCCATGCTCTGTAAGAGCGGCCCTTGGAACCTGCAACACTGACGTTTTGGGTCTTATTTGCTTGCACACTCGCTTTATATCTGAAAGCGCTTCATTCTATTGCATTTTAGTTCTGTTCTGAAGCTGTACGCGTTAAAGTTTCCTATACTGTCTAATTTGTAAATTCAAAACCATCTGTTACAATTTTTAAAGTCGTGATAGAATTTGTCGGTCCGTGTGGCACAGTGGAGCTTAAGTTCGTCTGCGGTACGAAGGGTCTTTGGTTCGAATCCATGTTCAGGCATGGATATTTGTAAATGTATATTGGGTTGAGTTGGCCTTGACTGAAACTCCGCCCACTTAAAAATAAAATAAAAGGAAAATAAAAAATTTTTGAACTTCATTTCAGAAATGCCAGTCTTCCTGGAAACCGTTTCCGAATTTTTGCATTTTAGGTCAAAAGTTAAAAGAAAATCGTCAGAAAATATTATTTGCAGTAATTCTTTCCGAAAAACTCTGAATAGTGACAGAAGCGACTTGCCCTTTTTTGGTTTTTGATATCAGCTTGCACCAAAATCACTATTTGCGCAATAACAATTAATTTAACTAGCAAACAGCGTAACCTGCAGTTAATGAGTTGCAGGTTTTGGCCTGCGATGCTACAAATGCGACTCCCAAGAGATCGACGGATGCCTCAAGTACACCAAACCCAAGAACTACACGTGCGGAAGTAAAATGAGCTACTTCAGACAGGTCTGCGAGTATAGCGTTTTGTACGGTGCGTAATCTATCACTTTGTCGCCCCGTGACCGAAAGCCGGCCTTTTCAGATACGGAGAAGAAGATACACCAGGTGCACAGCGGATGCGAGCTGATAAACGAGAAAGATCCCGTTGACACCAGCTTGGTTAGGAGTTGCATCGACACCCCGAGCAATATTCAAGTGGTCGAGTGCAGAGTGTGCGATAGGGACTTGTGCAATTCGGCGAGTGGGGCAAATGTCTCCTGGTTTGTTTATTTCGTCATGATTTATGCAATGAGTTCATTGAGGTGAATATTGTGTGCTGTAACGATTTGAACTCTGAACTCTGAGGTGGTCATTCTGAATCGATAGTACAATTGTCTCTTTGCGTGTCACTTTGCAATAATGCTGTAGGTATATCGTTCTTATAATGAAAGTGTAAATTATCCAATAAATAGGTACAAATTGAATTTTTTATTAACACTTTCCATTCTTATTACAAGGACTTCTAGTAGGACGCCGATGAACAACCGAAGCAACAGGAGGTAAGTAAATCAACAATGTTCAAATTTGTAAAATAAAGACATGTGTGAATTCCATCTTCTCCTCTGAGGGTTTTTACAGTTCTGTACTACATTTTGGTGTTAGACACAGCCCACACAAATTCGCTTTAGCCATTTGCAGGAGTGTGGCGGTTTCAAATGGAGAATATAGCTATTATATATTAGAAGTTGTGCTTCCGAACTTTCATAGAGGCGCCGTTCCAGGGTCTGATAATAGCGGTCGTCCTTCCCAGCCAGTCTGGGGCCCACTAGCCCTTGCATTCGACCACAATGGCAAACTGCGGATTATAATGGAACCCTGCCATCTGAGGGAAGGGAAGGGTCCTGGCCGGGCGTTTCTGATCGAATTCGTGTATGAAAACGGGTGCTTCGTTACAAAGAAAATGAGTTTGAAGCAAACACTAGCATTCTGAGGGGAGAACTTAAAGCAGTAACATGAGAATCATTAAAAAAAAACATGAGAAAACCTGGAGGAGAATTTGAGATACACTTGAGAAATTAAAAGAAGCCTGAAAAACATTAAAGGGTGACTCTTAACTGTAAAGCAACCTAGGATTAGATTTAGGGGAACTTGACGAACTATAGATGCACTTGACCAGAATCTTATAAGCTTGACGTTAGACTTACAAAGGAATTAAAGAAGAATTTTTGCTCCAGGTTAATTATATTAGTTATTTAATTTAATTAATATACATTTTTGTGAAAATTACGTAGTTTTAAATAGCGGCATTGTGTTTATTTTGTTTATTTAATTGATAAAAAAATTTACGTGTTGTAAAAAAAGGAAAATTATTTGTGTCATATTTGAAAGGTTTATCTCATGTTCTTCTCCGTTCATAGATAAGGTTTGCGCTTATCGCTAAAAATTAATCTGATATATTTATAAGCCATTTGTGGTGGGGTGATATATCACTCGCACTCGCTAGTGCCATAGAAAAATTTGTTAAAGGATCGAATGGAACGGGTTCAACCGTCTTTATCGTGACGTGTACAATTGGCCACGAAAATTAGGGTGTGTTAGAAGAAATGGATTTAAAATTCACCTATCCAAGTTGGAGATTTTTGCAACTCCGCGCCCCTGATGGAAGTATCGTCGGACCTCAGTCCAGACCAGTTAAAATTTTTCTATAAAACCACACATGCGCATCGCGCAATAGACAACTGCCTTATATTTATTTTTCTATTTGTCCATCTTTCCTTCCTTTTGAATTTTTATCTGTAAAGATTTCTTTAAATCCGGTAGCCTGTCCTGTTCGAAGTAGTTCTTTGTACTCTACATCTGAAAGTTTGTCCGCTTGCTGCAGTATTTTTGGTACCTCCATCTGTTAGTAAGTAGGTAGATGTTACGTCATTTCATCATAATTTCGTAACCATAAAATCATAAAAGCTAAACAAGGCTCTATAATTTTTATTCACTTTTACGGAGATGTTGAGCCAGGTTTTAAAACGGACGAACTCCTCTTATTTTCGTTTTTTTCGGCAGATGAACTATAATAAAATTATCGTAATTCAACGAACCAAAATGTTTATCCATTATTGCTCTATACGTACTCTAGTACCGCATCTCCTTTAATAAAGTACAAACAAAAAACCACTACGACTACCAATAAACCCATAAATAGCGTTGAAAAAAGCGGCAGAGCACCTCGGTGTGCCCCACGGAGTCATTGGATTTTACCCATTTTCAATAGACTTGTTACATGTGGCATATAAGTCAACTGTACAAAGTTTGAACCAAATCGGTCCAAGCATTTGACAGTTATCGTGTTCACAGACAGACGGACACCATCGACTCCCCTATAAAACTTGCATCGCTTTGCTCTGCCGCTTAATAACAGATACACAAGACCGAAAATGAATGATTTTTTTGATATCAGGGTAATTAAGACGTTATTGAACCTGTATTCAATCAATCGTATTGTTGCGTGGTACTTTGTCTTGGCTCTGTATGCCTTTATTTATTTGCAGCGGATTCAAAACAATGTATAATTATGAGGATTAAATTTAGCGTCATTTGTGAAATAAAATTACAATCGTACATTTGGTTCTTGATCATCTTCATTCTCTAATAAAGAAGTATTTTTCCAAAAGACCTCGAAATTCTAAGGGTAAGGGTAAATCTCTCTTCTCACATTCTTACTTCGAACTTACCGATATCGACGAAGTCGTCATTAGAACCTAAAAATGTAGTGAAATTTCACCACCACGCACCAAAATTAATAAGAAAAAAAAATTGTCTCAGAACGACCCGGAAAAAAAATTTTCTAATAGAATGTGGCCTGTAGAATCCAAAATTTCAAACAGTTCCAAGATTATGCTACTAGTTCAAATGTTACAGCCCTTTGAATGTTCTTTCGAAATTGGTTTCTAGTCTATAACCTTTGATTGAGAAGTCCGATCGAAAAGGTACGAATTGATTTGGATTCTACGCACCAAAATTAATAAGAAAAAGTGTTTTCCCGAGAAATTTTGGTGTAGTCGATTTTTGGTAAAAAAGGAAGGTTACACACTGCCTTTTTTGAGGCCCGAAAAAAAAATTGTCTCAGAACGATCCGGAAAAATTTTTTCTTATAGAACGTGGCCTGTAGAATCCATAATTTCAAACAGTTCCAAGATTATGCTACTAGTTCAAAAGTTACAGCCCTTTGAATATTTTTCGACATTGGTTTCTAGTCTATAACTTTTGATGGAGAAGTCTGATCGAAAAAGTACGAATTGATTTGGATTCTATGCACCAAAATTAATAAGAAAAAGTGTTTTCCCGAGAAATTTTGTGTAGTCGATTTTTGGTAAAAAAGGAAGGTTATACACTGCCTTTTTTTAAGGCCCCAAAAAAATTGTCTCAGATCGACCGGAAGAAAACTTTTTCGTATAGAATATGGCCTGTAGATTCCATAATTTCAAACAGTTCCAAGATTGGGCTACTAGATCAAAAGTTACAGCCCTTTGAATTTTCATTTGAAATTGGGTTTTAGTCCATAACCCTGGACCAAACTCATTCAAATTCACTGTGTTCAAGCTCCTGGAGAAGATTCTTAACAAACGCCTAATCTGGTTTTTTGATTCCACCAAATACGCTATGCTTCCGCGACAGGATAAAATCAGTATTAGCCGTCTCCTTTGATCTGCAAAAAGCTTTCGATACAGCCTGAAAATATTCCCTTTCATTAAAAACTTCCTAAATAATAGAACCTTTCAAACTATCAGATCTGCTCAAAAATCCTCAGCTTCTGGAACACCTCAAGGATCTGTTCAACGCTGTTTCTCATCGTTTCAATAAATGATATCGCCGAGAAAATCGCCCTCCCACGACCGTTCCTTGGCTGATAACCCACGAAGTGGACCTTTAAATTTAAAAAAAAACTGAATTTAATTTTCATGTAGACGTCGGAAAGCCACAAAAAAACGCAGTTAAATCACATAGTCAATATTAAAGAGAGTGTACAATTGTGAAATTAATGACGTCAGTGAAGTTCCAAAAGTCAAAATTCTGGGAATATTTTCAGGCAGATTCTACTAAAATATATGAAACTATATTCAGAGTTGCTTGAAATTAAAGAAATTCTGGAAATGAGAATACACTAATCTTCTAATACTTGTTTACAGGGTGAATCAAAACTATTGAAACTAAGGCCCAAAAATGTCTTGAAAATGATGCTTGGTAATGAAATGTTTGACTCGAAAATATACAGTTTTGTTTCGAATTAATTTTTCTGTAACATTAGTTCCTTAGGTCCAATCTTTTCAGAGGACGACCCACGACTTTCACTCCATCTACTGTTACCAATATTGTTTACTCTATTCTCGAGAAATCCGATGACATCGTTTCCGTAATTTATTGAATACCATGTGTTTACCTACTAAATAATTCATACAGGAGTGGATAGGAGTAGATTGTCTGTTCCGATTTTGAAGGAATTTCGTGGACAACAGTGTAATGTCGGTGATTTAGTTGTCGAGTGAAATACATTAAAAACGTCAAAAAATGGAAATGGTTCCCAATAATTGAAAAATAAAGAGTCGCTATACCGTAACGCATCACGCTAACGGTAAATTTTCTCACCCCTTGTCTAACTACCTGGTGAAGCTACGTTAAGCACAAGCAAGTCAGGGGGGTGAGGGAGGTTAGATCGGGTGAAACTTAAGGTGACCAATCGAAACTCGATATATAACTATAGTAAATGTCCCTTGTAACAACAAAACTATTGACGTTTTGAGTCTCCCACCATTATTATTAACATATGCCACATCAGTCTTACATACAACTCTAGTCAAAGGGGTTGCTTCAAATCAGCTTACAAAATGGAAAAGTTCGTGTGCGTTTTTATGTGTCTGGTTGCTTTGTGCTGCACCGGTAAGCGGTTGTGTGCTTTTGTGCTTTTCCAAGGGCCCCAAAATTGAGGTCGCGCATATTTGCAATTTTCAAAATAATCCACGTTTTGTGTAATCTTATAGAAACTATCTATATTTCCATTTTCTTTGTGATTTCTCTTCTAATATAGACTATTCTTAATTCTGTTTTTTTCCTAAGTAAGTGCTGCTGTTCCAGGTGACAATACAGATCGTCACTCTTTTTGTTTTTGTTTTGTCGAAAAGGCTCTATCTACGTTAGTTGATTTCATATCCTTTGTATCTATGCTTCCTTGAGAGATAACCAAAATCCACATTTTTAAGTATTAAATAAATAAACTATTTCCGCTTTGCGCTTGTCACTCAAACAGCGGCATGTATTTTGCTATCAGTCAATTGCATTGACAATGTGTACAATTGGTCACAAGTGTTTGCATTATAAATTTTACCGAATTCGGTATTATAAGTTTTTTTAAACGTTTCTTATCTTGAGATTACCACAAAAACCATCAAAATAGCATTTCCTTTTACATTTTCTCTGGAGATTCGCATACGCCCCATCAAAAAGCATAACTCTTTTTTTGATAGGATATATTATTGCGCCTCTCGAGCTTGTAAAGACTTGGCCAAAATTTCTACCCCCTAGGATGGCGCATATTCAAACAGGGGCGAGAAAAGAGTTTTGATTTTGAGGAAAATTAGGGTTTAAAATCAATGTCTTAATTTCTGCTGAAGGGAGTTTCCAAATTTCAAATTAGCTGATAACGTAAGCATAACACTGAACTTATTATAAATTAATTCTACTTAATTCAGTTTCTAAATTGGAAAATGTAAAATGCAAATGTTAATAATCATAATTTTAAGCAGAATTAACTGAGATCTTTAAAAATCCATGTGAACGATACCAAACTGCGAGAGAAAAGTTAAAAATCATAATTTCGCGCCCTTCCAAATTTGAAACAATTCGTAATCAAAATTATAAGAAAGAAATTAAAGTGGTATTGGCAGGACCGGATTTAACATGGGGCCATGTGGGCCCGGGCCTGTATTTTAGAGTTCAACATTCAGCATCGGAGATTAAAAAATGAATCTCAACTTTGGGACTCAAAATTTCGAAGCTTAAGAAATAAAGCAACGTTACCATTTTAGTAGGTCGTTTTAAACAATCCAAAGTCTACCGCCAAGCAGTCCAAGTTTAAGCAATTAAATAAATTAGGTTTCGATTAATGTTGGTGGTCTTTTGATACTAAAGTGTCGAATCGGCATAAGTTTTCAGAAATTCGAAAAAATTCCCACTACCTATCTTGGCGGGACAATGAAAATGATCAGAATTTCGTGTTTTTTTTTAAGTTTTCATGTTTACTGATGATCCATATTTTGCGTAAAGAAAATTCATCCTGGATGAATTTGTGAAATTTAATTTAAATTTCCGAAAATACCTCGACCTACCGGCCGGTACACACCCACATCTTACACCTTTTTGGAATTGAAAAACTGTTTTGCAGACTGTTTTGTGATTATGGCTTTTGTTTCCAAAATTCTCCCTTCTCCAAAAGCAGTTGGACTAAAGGAAAACGTCCTTCTAACACCACTCTCACGGTTAAATCCAATTCAAATTCATGAGATTGGGGTCTCTGTAACGGTGAGACATACAATGTAGGCTAAATGGGGTTAAAGTTGCCCCTTTTTGCTACTAAAAAAACGCACCTGAAATTACTGAGATAGGTATCCCCGCAAAAAATGAAAATGTCAATTTGCCCTACCTCAAACGGCGGGAAATGGGTGGTTTACGTTAGCGCCTTCTAGCTGCAGTTTTTTTCGGAGATTCTGAATCTTGCACCATAATTTCCTTAACACGTTAGATGTAGGAGGTACTAGGGGCCAGAGGGGTGACTACGGGGGCTGTAGCCCCTCCTGGTCATGGCTTTCTAAAGAATGCTGTTATTTTGAAGCTCTTCAACAATTCACCGCCTTCCACAACGTACGCAGGTACGCACATCAGTCCCTACGCCACTGGAGGCTACAGGCAGAGGCGTATCTAAGATAGGGCCACGTGCCCTGGGCGGCGGTCGAAAGGGGGCGCTAAAATCGACAATTTTTAAATTTAAAAATCAAAATAAACCACAATAAACGACATCACACATTTCCATGGAATGAGTGGTGGGCCCAAGGGTTATTCCATAATGAATGAACGCAAACACCGGAGCAACTTGCTGTAACGCCGTTACCAGAAATGTTGAAGCGTCACCCCAGAGTTAACCCAACCGCCAAAAGTGTATCTGATGGTTTAGTCCACCTCTCTGGCTGTTCCTCGTCTAAATCGAGAACGAAAAGAGACAGCGATGTCAAGCCTTCGCCAATCGGTTTCTATGAGTTCAAGGACCAGTGCTATTGAAAATGAGCCGGATTAAAAGTCGGGCTTTTTCGAATACGAGCTGTTTTAATTGAGGTTCGAGCGGTGAACAAAAAGGCGCCATTTGGTGTGGCACATCATAATTTTTTTTGTCCTCTATCTCATACCGTAAAAATCCAATATGGCGTTCATAAAAAGGTAGTAATAGCTTGTAGTTTCTACCACCAACGTGTTATGGAAACTCTGATGACAGATTGAAATTCCCCGAAAAAAAGTAGAGAATTTTTGGCAAGAAAATTGTCTAATATAATTGGCCTATAAGACTCTACTCATCTGTTATACGGATCCATCAGATTCTTCAAATTTATCATATGGCTCTTTGGATGATTTAGAATAAAACTCTACTATGGATTCCTTCGATTTTGTACATTCTGCTGGTCCTTGAGATTTTCTAAGAACATTCAAACAGTTTTCCAGTTCTCCAGTTTTTTCAAAATCCTTCGATTTTTAGGTTTTCTAGATGAATAAGCTTTTCTCGATTCTCCCATGTTTTTTAATCCACCATAAACGTCCTATCCGTTGGATATTGCAGTTTGTTCGGAATCGTTGTTTAGGTTCTTTGGATTAATGAGATTCTTTCGATTCTCTCATGCTTTCTAATTCTCCATATTCTTCATGTTTATCAAATTCTTCCGATTCTTATGTTTATTTAAATGGTTCCTTTCTCCACTCCTAAAATTCCTACACAAACTCTTCAGATTCTGAGTATTTGTTTCCTTCTGTGGTCTAGGCTCTACTACGTGTACGTACTTTGACACTTGGATCTATTTGGCGTAGCCTAGTGTCTTACTCCGAGAGAAGCAGTTTGTGATGAAATCTGATGATGCTCTTCGGGTGCAACTCCCTGATCTATTGAGTTGCTGTTGCAGCCTCGCCCGGGTCTTATGATCTCTGTCCGGAGACACCAACTCGGATGATGTGTTTCACTCTGTCTTCCTCCTCGAAGCATAGGCGACATGTACGTTATGTTCAGCTACTCTGATTTTGTTGAGATGATATCTCAAAGGACGGTGTCCAGTGACTAGGCCTTTATGACCTTAATTCATTTCTGTAGAGTGCTAGCAACGAGCCGGATTTACTCTCCTGGAAACTGATCAGTTTCTTGGATTGCCTTAATCCAGGGGCAGATTGCCATACACGTTTCTACTCTTTTTTCTGAGCTGGCATCAATCGTACAGTAAGACTTGATGGTGCCCCTTTTAAAATTTTTGAGATTTGCAAAATCATCCAGATCCATAAGGGTCTTCCAGTTCTTCAGTTTTTAATAAGTGTCGATTAATGATATTCTTTCGGTTCATTCATGCCCCTAACTTATCATATTTCTCACGATCTTCCAATTTTTAGCATTGTATGGTTCATTTTTCTTCAAATTTTTCTAAAATACGTCAGGTATACATACACTCGTCAGATTCTGATTATACTCCAAATTCTTGTCAATTTATTGTATTTCTAAAATTCTTGAGTTGAAAAATCATTCAGATTGTTAAGGGTTTTCCACCTTCGTAAAATGGTTGAAATTCTTTGGATTCTTAGAATTTGTTGAATGATTCTATCTATAATCCTAATTCTTCAGATGCTTCAGCTTCAGACCCTGTATTCATCAATCTTAAAGATCTTCTTTCGAAATCATTCGATTTTTTTATTGTCTAGATTATATTATACTTCTTCCGATGTTTCCGTGGCTTGGAATTCTCCAGATTCTTGAAAATCTCCAAATCCGTAAGCGTCTTCGGTTTATTAGGGTGCATTTAGCTAGTTCGATTCTTCAGATTTTCAGTGTTATAATTTTTTAGGCCCTTCCTTTTCTCCGAAATTATCTTATTCTCTAGCTAGGTACCAAATTCAGCATATTCCTCAAATTCGTTATATTCTTCATACACCAGGCTCTTCAGATTTTTGGAATTCTTCGCATTCTTTGAATTTTCAGGATTCTTCGTTTACTGCGGATTTTTTTGATTCTTACTAATGCTAAGTAAGGTTAAGTCGAAGGACAGGGAATTGCTGTTAGCAATTCATCTGAAATTCGCCTTAAGATTCAACCATATTTAACAGTTACTTTAGTCTTTATTGTATAATTATAGTTACGTTATCTGGTTGAATAAAGACGATATTATTATTATTACTGTCAGTCTTTCTTGTAAGCATGTAAAAATGAGAATGAATATGCTCTTAATTCTGACGCAAGCCTTTGACATGATTTTTAATGCTATAAGGGTCCATTGCACCCCGTTAATCACATTGCAGGTCGATCAGCCACCAACTTTTTATTTTGCTTTGGGGTAAGCAATTTTATTGGTAAGGGTGGGTGTGTCCTAAGTGTTAGCATATGAAATGAGTACAGGGACCCTCAGTGACGTAGTCGAGCACTGGAACGACCACTTTTGATACATGTGCCTGAAAAATTAGAGAGTTCGTAAGAAGTTGGTCACAAGAAAGTTTACACAACAAGTTTCTCTTGCGAACGCTACTAGAATTCATTTCTGGGAAATATGTACCTATTAGAACATTATCCCCCGAAATGTTGACCCCGAACCCCATGTGATTTCGCACGGAAAGCATCTTGACATCTAAAAGTTTCAAAATGGCGCCCATTTCAAAATGGCAAAATACGGTATAAGTAAGTCTTTACCAATATTGTAGAGTACTAAAATAGTGCTGTATAGACTATGTCAGTTGGGCCACTTACAATGATCTTTGGATGAGAATCGGTAAAATTAACCGTCATTGAGGATAAAATTCTTTGTTCGTCGTGAAAAGGGTCCGAATGAACACACCACTCGTGTGATATTAGGTATACAAATACACAAAATTAAAACAACCATTACAATCATGTTAAAATACTACGATATTCAATTAAAATTCCACATGAGTGTTCAGAACAACGTTATGCGTCTTCTTTCCGCGTCTTCCCGTATTTAAATGGAAATCCCCACTTAAAACTATTAATTGCATAGAAACGACAATAACTAATACGACGGACAAATTTGCACGTCCACACTAATTCTTAGAATATTCCTTATCTAAACCAACACATTTATACCAAATTCAACAATTGGTTACAATGGCACTTTATCTTGTCTATAATATCGAAAAGCTTAATAAATCATATCTCAACTGTCACATTCGCATTAATGAGCACCCTCATAACAAATAAGATTGAGGTACAAACATGTCTTAATCGAACAATTACAAGAAATAGTTTATCATTTATAAAGCAGGTAAACAAATACGACCTTCACTACACGCCCGATTCACACAATTGTTTTGTGTTAAAACGTAATTAGATCCACGACATTGATTAGAAAAAAATTTAAGAACATAATTAGACACCCCCGAATTCATTCCAAATGTCTTAATACGAAACTAAAACGTCCCAAATGACATTGTTTACACAGCATTATATCAAACATTTGATGGAAAGAAGATTGGAACATGATTTTTCCCAAAACAATGTTAATGAAAATCATACCTTAGTTACACGGTAAATGCTGAATTTTAGTATATAATTGTAACAGTAGGTATTACTTTGCTTGGAGATCCCAGATTGCCAAAGCTCCAATCAAGGCTGCTTTCCTACACATTTACCAATATTCCGCTCTACTACGCTAAAGTTAAAAAAAATGTTTTCTAAGAAGTTTCTTGGAAATTGTTCTTCGGAAATTACTTAAAAAAGGTTTCTAAACAAATTGATAGTTTTTGAGTTAGAAAGAATTTTATTGAAGGTAAAATGAGTTCTTGAAAACTTCGCTACTACTACGAGTATTACTAAGCAGATTTCGGGAAAGATATGTCGAGTAAAAAGATCTTTAGATCATTTTCTAAGGTTTGGAAATAGCTTCTGAGGAACAAATTTCATAAGATTACAAAAAGTTTCCGCAGACACTTTATCCAAGAAGATTCTTGGGGAATATACTGAACTAAACGAAATAAACGTCCTTTATGACGGTCGGTATCTTGTTTTTGTTAAATATTGGACGCCGCTTATACTTCATGTAACAAGGAATTACAGTTGACAGAAGGAAGATAAAAATTTTGTTTCAGCCTCGGCCCTTAAATGTCACGAATGCGAAAGCGACCAATTAATCGGATGCGCTAAGGATGCCAAACCCAAAGAAAAGACCTGCCCCGATGCTCCACAAAATTCAATGGCCGTTTGTACATATAAAGTATTTTTTGGTAAGTCCGCCAGCGTTTTCCATATACTCCGATATCAATTCACTTACTTACAGAAACAGCGAAAAGCGCCTATAAAGTGCGTTCTAACTGTGGAGTTATTCAGGCGGATGCCCCTTTAAACTCAAAAAGTCAACCAGATTGTAATAATCCGGCAGGTGGAACTGAAGTGAAGGAGTGCCGAGTGTGCAACAAGGATTTCTGTAACGCATCCTCCGTTTTGGGATCAAGCACCGTCAGCTTCTTGAGCCTTCCTCTGATGTACTTCGCCACCAAATATTTGTTATACTAAGTCTTGTTCATTTACTTTAATTAGATGTGATGTAGTTTAGATACTAGCACTTGATTGTTCTATTTTTGAAGGGAAAGCTGTATGTTCACCTAATATCATCAATAAAGATTGCGAAAAAAACCTGCCCAATCAAGTTTCTAGAAAGATTGCTGAAAGTTATTATGATGAACAATTTCCTAGGAACTCCAAAGGTTTCAGAAAAAAATCCAGGTTTTCCGTAGTTCGTATAGAACCGAATGGTTTCCAACGAGAGTTGTTTCCAAGTACCTAATTTGAAACCCAATGATGACGTTTCTAAGAAGTTAGAAATATAGCATCATAATTCCAGATTTTGAAGTAAGTAATAAAATTCCAATCAAATGATTTTCATCTGCTATTTTTTACGGTACAAGTTTTGTGATTAGACACGCTAGACATTTTGGCTTGACATTTGCCCAGCACTTAATGTCAGTATTAACCTTATTCCGCGTTTAAATTTTTTTGTTAAAAAGTTTGTGCATTCATGGCGCCGCGCCTAATTAAAATAGAATTCTTTTTATCATAATTGTCTACGTTCTAAAAACGATATCCATAGCTTGTTCCATGGACAACAAATAAATGAGGAAGTACAACTCCTTTTATAACAGTAATTATTATCACTTACAATTTATACCACAACACAAGCGCATTGAAGTGGGAACGGAACCAAAATACTACAATTTGCTTATACAGGGTGTTTCATAATATATGCGCAGGACTTCAGGATTAGTGATAGCTCTTACAAAAATTAAAAAAAAAGTTTCTATTAACCTACCCTCTAAAATGAAAAATTCTCGAGATACAGGGTGTTGAAATTGAAAAAAAGTTCGTTTTTTGCGAATATCTCCGGAACCGTTTATCGTACAGATAAGTATTTTCTAGTTATAATAAGCTCTGTTTTGTGAGAAAAAAAATGTTTTTTAGGTACGGCAACGGTTAAAAAATACCATTAAATAATTGCGTTAATAAAAATAACAAGATATATTTTTCGTTTCAGTAACTGAATCCAGACCTGTAATTTTTGAGCACACATCGGGATTATTCAAAATTTGACGGAGGCACCTAGCAATAGAGGCGCGTATTGTGCGATCTTCGCGACGATAACTATACATTGGTTGTTGGTTGCCCGTGCTTATATCTAATAGCTTTAATTTGAATTCACATTGGCTATATATAACAAATGTTACAAAATCATTTTTGTTATTTTTTTGAAATGGACGTTTGTCGTCGGACCCTTAAAGAATTCGGTTTCGATGTACCATGAAAAAATTGATTTTGATCATCAGATGTCGGCTGAATCGAGGGTTGAGAACGGTTGCTGTTTTAGATTCTCCTTGCAATTGAAGACCCCGGGGAAAAATTTGAAGATAGCGAATCGTTGGGGGTTGTTCTTACCGATGGTCAATTTGCAAAATTTTTTGAATATTGTCAAAACAACACTGTTCTTCTGATGTTTTTCGTCAGCAAATATGTGTTATACTAAGCCTTTTCTATTTTCTTTAATTAGATGTGACACTTGGTTTTTCTATTTTTTGTAATGCTGTACATAATATTATCCTGAATAATAAATGAAACGAGTGCGTTTTTGAAGCATATTTTTGGAGTCTAAAAAACCTCAATTCGTCCATAGAAAGGTTACATTTGAGGGTGCGTCTGTTTGCATCTGAAACTAGTTTCTTGATCTCTTCAAAAACTTGCTATTCCAGAGTATTGTGGTGATGTAGAATTGGGCAATGAAAGCTCGCACTTCTCCCCCGATGAAGGTTTCATCAAGACAACATTTGTATTTCTACATCCTTTATGATGCTCGGTATCTTGAATTTGTTTATTATTGAGTCTCATGTGTGCAAGAGAGAATTATGTAACGCATCCCCCGTTTTGGGATCAAGCACAGTCAGCTTTTCCTGCCTTCTCGTAATGTACATCGTCACCAAATACGTGTTATACTAGGCCGTTTCTACTTCCTTTAATTAGATGTGACAGAGTTTCCCAAAAATCTAATAATATAACGCATTAAGCGCCTTTTGCATGCTGAAACTTTTGTGAAAGTTGAAATTCTCTTAGCCGAGGGCATGCGCAATAGGTTCTTTCATTGAAAGTGATGTAAGTTTCAACTTATTGGTTCAGACGTGAAATATTTCACATTCAGCTAAAATTGTAGGGCTGCCAACTCTACAATTGGACTAATATTAATGTTAAGTTTTGTGTCATTTGATGGTATTTTGTGTTGACCAAGGTAAAGGCAGATTATTGAGCGCAGTGAAATCCCAGAGTGATTGTTGCTGCTGAATGTAACTAAAAAGTTATTAAAGGCGTCCATCTAACCTTACGTTTTTAGGTTGGTATTAGCAAAATGTAAACGCAAATGGGTCTGGAATCTTCCGGAATGTTCTTGAACAAATACGGTATTTGTCCCAGATGGATTGCGTCACATTCCTTTTCGCACTTAATCACTGATGACTAATCTTTCATTGCGCCTCGATGTCTATCGGGATTTGGGGAATATTCGTACAATATTATCAAAGCTCTTCTAAAAATTCTAGTAAGATTACAAAAATACGTGTTTCAAGACATTTCTAAGCCGATTTCTAAGGTAGTTTGGAACGTTCCGATCTTAAACTCAAAGAAGATATTCCCAAGGTAGACCTCGGAAAGACCTGCGAGATTAGATATAGCCAGGGTTATAGCATAACTTCTATAAACAAATGACAAAAAAAGAGCTCCCCAATTTGTAAGTTTCTAAATTCTTTAAAATTAGTCCTGAGAAGATAAAGCTTTTTCAATATAACTTCTAAGAAAGAGAAGGTTCCTAAAATGTTTAGACCTAGAAAAGTCTTTTGAAAATACCTTTTTCGAAGATTGGCGCAAGTAACTATGGAACGCCGTTTTAATGTTTAATGTGCAACAATGCTATAATCTTAAAGTAAGTAAAGCTTTGCCCGAATTCCATTCCGCCATTTAAAATTATCTGAGATAATTGTAAATGGCTATTTCAGCCATTTAATATTATCTGAGATAAAATCAAATGGCGCCGTGCGCTGCTTTTCTCTCTTTTTCCCTATAAAAAGAATTAAATTTATCTTGTTGATAATTTAAATTTTGCTATTTAAAATTATCTACAAGATAAAAAACATGATTTAAAATTATCACTATGATAAAAATAATTGTTTTATTTTATCAAATAGGAATTATTTTTATCAACAAGATAATGAAATGATTGATAATTTTAAACAGCAAAATTTAAATTATCAACAAGATAAATTTAATTCTTCCGCCAGTTACGACTATCTTAGATAATTTTAAATGGCCACCTTTGCAAGTCATAGCGAGATGGAAATACGCTGTTTTATAGGGAAAAAGAGAGAAAGGCAGTGCACGGCGCCAATTAATTTTACCTCAGATAATTTTAAATGGCGGAATGGCATTAAAATTATCAAGATAAAAATAATTATTTTTTCATTATCAACAAGATAAAAAAAATGATTTGAAATTATCATTATGATAAAATTAATTATTTAATTTTATCATTAAAATAATAGAAATTCGGGCAAAACTTTCTTTTAAGATTATGGAATTGTTGCCCATTAAATGTTAAAACAGCGTTCCATAAGTAACTGTGTCTGTGTGAGTAAATTGCTTATATTTTGATGATTTATGCACTCATATAAACCCAATTTGTTTCTATGAAGGATTATTGGTAAAATGCAAAATTTCGAGGAAAATGTTCACTTTGTTCGCTAATTACTTGGGTGGATGTATATGTATACGCATTTCGAGTGGCTGTCCCGAGGTGTAATTTTCTTTGGCCTTTTAAACATTATTCAATTGGGTCCGTCAACTATGCATTGGTTGATGGTGGTCCTAAGAGTTTTAATTTGAATTCACAAAAGTTACAATACCGTTTTTGTTAACATTTCTTACCGTCGGGCACTAAAAGAATTCGGTTTTGATGTACTTACAATGAAAACACTGCTTACACCGGTCTACAGCATTTTTGCGCATGGAACATAATATATTGCTGTGTTATTTTGTCTGGCAGGACTAAATTTTGGGATTCTTAACTAGAATGGACAAGGGCGGTTTCAATGTAATTTTTTTTCTTAACCTAAATTTTTGTTTGTCTCTTGTAATATTTTTCATTGTGTGTGCGTGTGACAATTAAATTTGAATTTTGTAATTTTCACAATAATTGCTGTGTATGTCATTCGAACGATTTCATTTCCTGTCGTTTATTGTTTTCTTTGAATACTTGTCGAAGGTCCATTTTATTTAATCAAAATTCTTAAGATTGATTTGGAATATAAGGTATTTGGTATAACCCACTATCTGTTAGAAGTTAATAATTTAACTGAGAAAAGAGTCGAATACCTCCTCTGCGCTGGGGAGAAGTTTTGTTCCGAGACATATAAGGGTTTGAGCTAGCTAGGTTTGTTTATGTGTTTTGTGTACGGTCTTTTTGGCCAACGGACCGGTGCACACAGCATTTTTATTTGGCGCCCAACGCGGGGCCACAGCATTATTAATTGGCGCCCAAGAACGTGGGGCCACAGCAATATACCTTATTTTTATTGCTTGTATAGCCACAAAATAAGGATTTAAACAAAAAAAGGTTATATATTTGATTTTGTGTGAAAACAATGCAAATGGTTTTGTCATGTTTAACTCAAGGTTTTCTCATCAACCCCCCAAATAATATGATCTTCCATCATGCTTCCAGCGTACTGGCCTTGGTAACGTGCCTAAATTCCATTATGTCTTGATGAAAGTGATTCCGAATGAGATCCCATATTATCCTTAAATTGATCTAAATGAGAATATGTGCATCTTTAGAGACATTCTATACCGATTCTATACCCTATGATGCAAAACCAAATCATGTCAGCTCTTATAATTTTCAGCTCTATGGTTTCCCAGGAAACACTGAACAGGGAACCATGGACTATTGCCTTAAAACTGTTCCAGGATTTTTTCCCGTTTTTGCTAAGTAACTGCGGGAAAATATCACACTCCATATTTCTTTTTATTTGAGGGAAAACAAGATTCCAGCTTTAATTTTCACCCCTAAAAGCTTTGAATCAAATCGCTATAACTTTTGTAAAAGC